TTTTTTTTTTTTTTTTTGGTTGCAGCTATTATTGTTTAGCAGGCCCAGGTCAGGCTCGAACCCACCAGCCTCCTTGTGTGTGACTGACGCCCTACTCATGGAGCTATAGGCGCTGAGCCTATCAATCCTTTTTGAGTTAATTTTTGTATAGGGCATGAGATATAGATCTAAGTTCTATTTTTTTTTCCATATGGTTAGCCTATTGTAGTACCTTATTGCCCAGGCTGGATTTCAGTGGCTGTTCGAAGTTATGATTGTGGTGCACTGCAGCCTTGAACTCCTAGACTCAAGTGATCTTCCTGCCTCACCCTTCCAAGTAGCTGGCAATATAGGTATGTGCCACTGTGCCTGGTCCTTATAGCACCTTTTTTTTTTTTTTTTTTTTTGAGACAGAGTCTCACTCTGTTGCTCAGGCTGCAGTGCCATTGCATTAGCCTAGTGTACAGCAACCTCAGATTCCTAGGTTCAAGTGATTCTCCTGCTTCAGCCTCCGAAGTAGCTGGGACTACAGGTGTCTGCTGCAACACCTGGCTAATTTTTCTATTTTTTAGTAGAGACAGGGCCTCATGCTTGCTCAAGCTGGTCTTGAACTTCTGAGCACAAGCAGTCCTCCTAGCTCAGCTGCTCAGAATGCTAGGATTATAGGTGTGAGCCACCATGCCTGGCCTGTAGCTATTTATTTATTTTGAGACAGAATCTCACTTTGTTGCCCTTGGTAGAGGACTGTGGCATTATAGCTCACAGCAACCTGTAACTCCTGGACTCAATTCTCTTGCCTCAGTCTCCCTAATAGTTGGGAATATAGACACCCACCACAATGCCCAGCTATTTTTAGAGGTGGGGGGGGTCTCCATCTGGCTCAGGCTGGTTTTGAACCTGTGAACTCAGGCAATCCAGCTGCCTTGACTTACCAGAATGCTGGGATTGCAGGCGTAAGCCACCATGCTCGGCCCTGTAGCACCATTTTTTGAAAACAATCCCTTCTCCACTGAATTGCCTTTGTAGCATTGTTACAAATCAGATGTCCACATGTGTGTAGGTCTTTTTCTAGATTCTGTTCTGTTCCACTGATCTGTTTGTCTATGTTGATGCCATTAATGCACTGACTTAATTACTGTTGTTTCCCTATCAGTTGACTTCATATAGTAGTTAGTCCCCAACTTTTGTTTTTTGTCAAGGTATTTTGGCCATTCTAGGACCTCTACAGTTCCATATGAATTTTAGAATCAGCTTTTCAGCTTCTACAAAAAACCTCCTGGGATTATGACTGGGATTGCATCGAATCTATAGATATTTACTATTTACTATATAGTCTATTATAAAGTCTGTATATTTACCATACAGTCTTTCGACTCATAAGGAGGGGAGGCTGAGAATTAACTTACTTTTTATATTCAGTAAAGGAAAGTCTGTTCTTGTCTGTGACTTGGGACTTTGGGCAAAGAGCAGTTTCTTCCTTTCCTGCATTACAAAAGAAAAAGTTATTTTAATTCTCAGCCTTCCCTCCTCACTTTTTTTTTCTTCCTGCAGTTAAACTTACAGGAGACTGTAAGGAAATGTTCAGGTCTTTTTTTAATGGAAGTATATGGTGTTACCATTTAAATCACTTAAGCACCAGTTATTGTGCTGAAAATACCTCTATGAATTTTTGTAACTTACTGGAGAAAGCTAAAAGGACAGGACATTTAGGGCTGTCAATGTCAATGCAGAATAAAGTCCATTGATATTGGACATGTCCTGTATATATAGAATGCCCAGAAACCTTAATCACTGTTAGTTATTATTAATATTTTTTGAGACAGAGTCTCACTATGTCATCCTGGGTAGAGTGCTGTGGCTTCACAGCCCACAGTTACCTCAAACTCCTGGGCTTAAGCGATTCTCTTGCCTCAGCCTTCCAAGTAGCTGGGACTACAGGAGCCTGCCACAACACCCAGGTATTTTTTGTTACAGTTGTCATTGTTGGTTAGCTAGTCTGGGCCGGGTTTGAACCCTCCAACTTTAGTGTACGTGGCTGATGATGTAACTACTGTGCTAAGGCGCCAAATCAATCACTGTTATTTTGATTGTTAAATGAATCTGTCCTAAAAGGGCAGATGGAAACCATGGTTCTTCTGAAGGTTGCCCAAGCCAGCACCCAAGCAGCATCTTTGGTTTGGGCTTCTTTTTTTTTTTTTTTTTACAGTTTTGGCCCAGGCCGGGCTTGAACCCGACCCCCGTATATGGGGTCGGTGCCCTACTCCTTGAGCCACAGGACTTAAAGGTAACACACAGGCACCCTTCTCCACGCCTCCACAGCCTAGATGACCCGCAGAGGACCACAGCTGAGGGGCCATCAGTTAACAAGGACCGGACTTGTGCCTAGAGACTGAGAGGGCCAGACCAGCGCCATTTTGTTGTTTACAACAAAATGCGCACGGCCACTCCCTGCTGCCTCCCCCACCCCTGGTTGCACAAGTTGTTGAGCCCTTGATTAAGCCATCTTAAGCAACAACTGCCATATTAGGGTATAAGTTTCAGTTTCCTTGAAATTCAGGTATTTCCCTCAGACACGAACCGGTTATCCAATCGGACTGCACCACCCAGCCAGCCCACCTTGAAGTCACTAGACAACCCCCCGCTTCTCCACCTACACCAATCCCAATCTTACCCGTGCTATAGGAACCCCTGACCACCAATCAAAAATGTACTCATGCCTAACCTCACCTTTCTTGCTTTCTGTACCCTATAAAAACCTTTCACACCCCAGGCTCAGGGCTCTTCCTCGGTGTGCCCACCTGGAGATTCCAGGCTCGGGCTTGCATAAAGCTGAGGGCTCTTCCTCGGTGTGCCCACCTGGAGAGTCCAGGCCCGGGCTAGCATAAAGCTCACCTCGTGCTTTTACATCGAGTGTGTCTCGGACTGTTTGTTGGGGAGTCTTGGGGGAACTTGGCCCTACCAAGGTCTGGGTAGAGCCAGGCTGCATCAGTGCCCTGAGTGCCCAGCCCGAAGCAGTACCAAGGGCTGCCCCAGGCCGAAGGACGATATCACAAACCCACAACACAGGAGCCTGCTGCAGCAGCCGGGCCATTTCCACGCCTCGGGGCGAGTCACCCGGCGCCGGGTCACGGGGACCACAGAGATGGGCGGCCTCCGGAACGCCTAGAGGGGCCCACTTGCGCGCCTGCCCTTCCGGGTCGGCGCGTAATTACCAGCTTCTCGGTGATCCAAGAGGAAGAGGGTCGTTATAACCGAGTTCTGCGTGCCAGGTCCGTCTGGTGCTGGGCTTCTCGCCGCCAGAGGCTGGTGGCTCGTCACACTCCTGCCCCTGAACTTGGTCCTAATGGCGGCCCGCCCATCCCTCGCTCGGAGCTTGGGTATCTGGGCCTCGCCGAAGCCGCCAGAGGTGGCTGCGCGGCCTTCTAGCGCCCAGGCCCACCTCCCTCCTATGGCAGCGCGGTCATCTTTTCTGCTCTAAAGAACTTGTCCTGACAACCTTCTGCGACCGGTACAGACGTTTCTGATGTTTGGGGTCTCCTTCTTTCCGAGGTGGAATGTTAAGATTCCTGTTGTGTCGTGTCTCCAGTCACTCACTGAGACACTTGAGTAATTTATCCTTCAACCGCATTCAGCCATCTGTGTTCCTCATCAGAGGTACTTTTTTGGGGTCAGTAGTATCATCCCTGTAAACATTCTGTAAAAACTTCTATTTGTACAGAACTAACACGGTATGGACGGGGTACTTTGATCCCTCAATATACTCTGAATGGGCTCAAGACAGCCTTGGGGCTGAGCAGGCAGAACAGTTGAAAAAGGACAACGGGGGCCTTTGAGGGGTTGTCTGCGGGAGAAGAGCTAGAGGAGGCCTTGTAGAGTCTCTGACCATTGCTGGAAATGTGGAGACTGGGCGGGCCACGGGTTGCTGTGGGTGATGCAGAGCAGGGTCCATGGAACTTAACGGCTCCTCTTCTTTTATCTCCTAAAGATCTTGCTTTCCCAAACCCAGAAGACAGTGCTTGAAGGCAGGGGACATCAGCCATGCTCGAAACAACTTGGCCTCAGGTGAGTTGAGCTTCCTTGCAGTCTTTTTTACTTAGATTAGTTATCTGGAAAGGTCTAATTTGACTAGGCTGTGGTTTTTCCTTTGATTTTACCTGCAGGGCTATGGCAGATACTAAGTATGTGGTGGGAGAAATAAAAGTTCGTGTATAGAGTGTGGTGAACTTGGATATGTAGATGTAAGTGGAAGAAAGGGAACCCAAGCCAAGAAATTCTTACTGAATGTAGAAATCCAAATCATGTTCTAACAATGAAAGTCCTGTCACCTACTGAAGCCAGAGAAATTCTTCATTAAAGAGATTGTCTTGCATATTGTCGGTGTATCCCAGAGTGACCAACGCTTTTCTTTAAATATGTATTCTTTCTTTACAGTTTTTGGCCGGGGCTGAGTTTGAACCCGCCACGTCTGGCATCTGGGGCCAGTGCCCTACTCCTTTGAGCCATAGGTGCCACCCATTTTTCTTTTTTTTTTGAGACAGAGTCTCACTATGTTGCCCTGGATAGAGAGCTGTGGCCTCACAGCTTATAGCAACCTCAAACTCTTGGGTTTAAGGGATTCTCTTTCCTCATCCTCCCAAGTAGGTGGGACTACAATGCCTGGCTATTTTTTGTTGTTGTTGTTTGGCAGGCCCAGGTCAGGTTGCAACCTGCCAGCCCCAGTGTATGTGGCTGGTGCCCTAGCCGCTAAGCTACAAGCGCCGAGCCTCAATATGTATTTTCTAAATGCTAGTTGTAAAGGCCCTGAAGTTGGGTATACTCTAGAAACAAGAAGAGGTCAGAGAAAGTGGTTCAATATGAGGTGGGAGGAGTAAGCATGGGTATTGTAGGTCATGGTGAAGACTTTGGTTTCTGTTCTGGTCATTAGAAGGGCACTGAAGAGTTTCAAGGATAAGGGTAACATGGTTGCATTTATATATTAAAAATATTTTTCCAGCCCTTCATGGCAAATTGGTGTGGTGGAAAGGTGTGTCAGTTAAGTGGATATTGAAGTTTTAAGATATTATGTATTCTTGGTGGTGCCCATAGCTCAGTGGATAGCACTGAGGCTGGCAGGTTTGATTCCGGACTGGGCTAGCTAAAGCAACAATGACAACTGCAACAGAAAAATAGCTGGGTGTTGTGGCAGGCACTTATAGTCCCAGCTACTTGGGAGGCTGAGGCAAGAGAATTGCTTAAGCCCAAGAATTGGAGGTTGCTGTGAGCTGTGACGCCATGGCACTCTACCAAGGGTGACAGCTTGAGACTCTGTCTCAAAGAAAAAGAAGATATTAAGTATTCTTTTAATTATTTATTCTTTTTTTTTTTTTTGAGACAGAGTCTCACTATGTTACCCTTGGTCCACCTGCCTTAGCCTTCCAGAATGCTAGGAT